TCAATAAAGACAATCATGGAAATGGGTGAAGAAGTTTATGGAATGTTAGTTATGAATTTTTATATTTTAAAGCATTGATATTTTAAACAGTTCATGCGAGTTTGATATTAGGAAAAGAAAAGTTTATTTTGAAAGTGATGATTTTCTCGCATGTTTGAAAATAAATTTCAAGGAGACTTTATACAGAATACTGGTTGCTAATGGCAATTCCGTTAGCCCTTGGCATGTCATGGTACACCTAGCTAGTAGGGTGTGTAAAGGAGGTGCTAGCCCTGTGTGATAGCCAACGCATGTGGAATGGAGGGATGGTTATTCGTGAGCATAGTACTCACGTTTGTTTCGTGGCTTTGATTGCGTTTGGTTACTTACCCTCATAGACTGTGTGTCTACGTTTGTTTCATGACTTCAACCGCGTTTGATTACTTACCCTCGTGGACTGTGTGTCCACGTTTGTCTTCATGGCAAGAGCCATGTTTGGTAATTTACCCTCGTGGACTGTGTCCATGTTTGTTAATTGTTCTGATAAGTCCTCGTAATATGAATTTGATAATTTTACATCCCATTGGCTTTAAGTAGTAAATGATTTATAATTATTTATTTTCTTCTTTACAATCAAGTGATGATAATATTTCATATGATATTTTAATAGTTAAAGATTTTATTTAAAACTTTATAGAATCTTTTTACTTTCGAAGTTTATTAAATTTTTATGAAAACCGTTGCCTCTTTAAATTGCGTGATTGTTTCAAACTTTCTTTTTATTCATGTTCAATTATTTATTGTTGGGATGTTATTCACTAGAAAAAGATATTTGGGTCTCAGATGGTACAACGAAACTTGTAACTTGAGGCATCCACTGAGAAGTTTTATTGCTGAATGGAAGTGGAAAAATTATTTTAGTCAAATCCTAATTTGATGAAAATTTGAACTTTATACTTATATTGGAACCTGGTCTTAGGTGCTTCACATAGAATACAGGTAGAATCCTCACAATTCTTTTAAAATTTAATATCTGATTTAATAATGCAATCATTTTTAATTACCCTATTAGTGTGTTTAATGTATTAACTTCAGAGTTTCTTTGATCACGACTTAAGCGATGTGAGTTTTGTATCCATATTTCATGCTAGTCCCACCTAATTTTTGGAGTGTGACATTATTACTCTAATCTCGTGTACTTGTGAGGCCGGTCAACAAGTAAAAAATGTACACACTCGCAGTACTTCTTTCATACATGTGGGAAGAAAAACTGAACTGCCATGCTCTTAAAAAATTCAAACTTGAAAGCTTATAGTTATTCTTCTTCATGAAATTGTTTTTTTTTTTTTTTGGTTAACAATGGACACAATAATAAAATATGGAAAACATAATTGTTACAATGCTAGGTAGAGTGCTCTTATTGTGGTACTCCAAGAAGGCTTAGGTGCTTCTTTCTGCTCTTTCACCATCTCTTACATTGAGCAGGTTGTGATCTTGTTATTCTGTCCTCAAGTCCGGGAAGAAACGTGATATATTTTCTTCTTCCACAATTCTTGGCTTCGGCACCCTTATAATAATTGAGACTTTGAAAAGATGCCACTATAATGGAAGTTGGGCAAATGTGTATAGCAACGCTACTGGTAATAAAATGACCACATAGGATATGATAGGCTTATACTTCTCTTGAGGTCGAAAGTCAGAGGATAGTGCAGCATAGGAAGCAATCAACATTGAGACAAGCGACGCGAGGAATGCAATGATGCCCATACAAAGCTTCAACGGCAAACTTCGACGAAAACCTTTGGGGGGTTCCTTTCTAGAGATATAAATGGCTAGAAAAGTAGCCAATGAAGCGATAGAGAAGAGAAAGGAAAATAACAAGGAGATAGAAAATTTATGACCAAATCTATCAATGTCCTGGACACATGCAGAGAAGCCAGAACCAGTAACCAGAGCAGCTGCAACAATGTAAGGTCCACACGTGTCCTTCACTGATTCATTACATTCCTTCATAAGTTCCGTGTGCTCCTTGGTGAAGATGTCCCACGGAGTCTCCTTCATTTTATTGCGTTGGGACATGAAATAAGATGGCATGCTTTTTTTCACATACTGCTTCAACATAAAATAATAAATTCCATAAGCAATGCATAATTTCACTCGTATGTATCTTCCAAGGAATGCTGGAGAAAGTATTTTAACATATTAAAAATAAAATTGGAAAGAAAAGAAATTAGTTGATGAATTGATGGGGGGGGTGTGTGTTATATTTAAGGTCCTAAATTTTTTTATTAATTTGTCTGACATGTTTTATATATTGTAAATATTTTTAAAATTTTCTAATTTGTGTCTTGAAAAATGTGAACAATAATAATTCACAAAGTGAACAAGTAGCGATGAAAGAATGCAAACATTACCCACATGGATATTTGGGAAAATATCTCGCAAAATAAACCTAGTATATACTACAAACCTTTTTGTTTTATCAAAGGTGAATCCTCTGATCTGCTCTTCTTGCTTAACTGTTGCGTGAGATTATTTGACCGAAAATGAATCTTCGATAGTTTAATGCACGTGATTGCATTCACTAGTTAAATTAAATAGTTTAATACACATTAAAGAAAAATGCTTGCCTCTTATATTTTTTTCCCTCATTAGCATTCTCTTAGAATTTATATTAAAGTCACGGTCAAACACTAAATATAAATAATAAAATATTTGCCTCTTCTATAACATGCTGGTTGATTTGAGTTTGGAAGAGCAAGACTTAATGTAGCGAATAATAAATAAGAACGAAATATTAAATACCTCAAACCACATGACTTCCCATTGCTTTTGCATAACAGATCCACGTATTTCACCTGCTTTATATTTTGACTGCTTTGCTGCCAAGTGCAATGCATTATTATCATGAGCATCCACCTTTTCTATCAATTTATTCCAATAACGTTTCTGTTTCTTTACTTCCTCTAACACATTGCTTTGCCTTTCCTCAATGGCCACATGTACTATATTCTTCTTCTCCTCGAGTTATTGGTCATGGATAGACACAGGAATATCATGTAGGATTTTCTTCACCTGCTCAGTCAGACCATTTTGAGCTGCTATTAACAGTGCTGTTGATTTTTTGACTCTGCCTGCCATGTACCAGTTATAACTTATCAGAGGTTAATTGTGTTACTCTTCTCTTCAAAGAAATAGAAATCATTTTCTTTTTTGCAGTGGGCTTACCTCCCTGAATAATAGTATCCATGAACGGATAAAACCTCATGTTCACAATACCCTTCATGACCTTCGCATTATCGTTTTTCCAATACCAAGGATCTTGTTTTACAAGTTCGTCCATGATACAGGCAACGATCATATGTTTCTCTCTAAGTTTCCCACGGCAGTCTTGTCAAATATTTGTAGCAACCAAGAAAGAGAAGGGCAAAAAGAACAGATTAAAATTGGCAAAGGAAAGCAAGAAAATGGACAAAGAACAAGAGGAAGTGTAGGATACTACTACCATAAAAAATATAAAAAAAAATACAAAATAAGCAAAGAAAAGAATTTTGGGATAGATTTGCGATGACATTTAAAATGGAGTGCTTGTTTGATTTTACATTTGGGAGGTTGAAAATTATAATTTTGAACCTAAAACCACGTTTTATTAAGAGAGATTACCAGACAGTACAATTTCTAAAACTACAGTTAGAAATTATGAAACCAAATAGCATTTTCTTCCCCCAAACCTATGTTAAAGCCTAAAATCATCAATAAAGAAGCAAAGTATAAATGCTTTTAAAAATCGTCATTAGTTCTAGCCAAACCTCAGTTTTGAGCAACCTTAATTTCACCTAAAACCATGATTTGCAAATTAATTCTAGCCAAACCACAATTTTGACAAACTCAAAACCAAAGAGACTCCGATTTGTGACAAATTTGTGATGGTTTGAGTCTTTGCAAATAGACGTAGTACGGATCAGTCCATCGAGAACTAAACATGCATGAATGCATGCATATACATAAAGTGAATTGAAAAGAAAACAATTCAAAAAACCTCCAATATTTAAAATTAAAATTTCATACTAGGTCATTTGGGATTTGTAGCTTAAAGATCAGATGATTGTAAAGAAAATAAATAAAAGATATGTCAACTTCATGTCTCTAAAACGTACTAATATCAATATGCATGATATAAAATCTATACATAACAAACAGTATTATTCATAAACCATAAACATCGTCACTTATTTTTTATTTTATGTGATGAATATAAAATTAAATGTGTCTGTACTTTGTACATACTATTAAATTCTAAACTTAAAAAAAAAGAAAAAAGAAAAAGATAGGGGTTCATAAATTATACTTACAGTAGTAGAGCAGTTTCTGCCACCATCTGAGAGGACTACCATTCTTAAAAGCAGACGCAATCATGACAAGCTCATTCAGAGGTAAATGTCCGTCTCTATTGAAAAAGCTACCGATCGCAATATGTTGATCTTTGTAAAGCTTAATTATTTGGAGTGAGAAATCTGGCAAGCATTCAATTCCACGTACATAATTTGTTAGTTATTTTCTTTCGTAGCTATCGAACGCTATTTATTTGTAAAGGGTATCAATATTTTGACAATTAAAATACACACAATGTTTCCCAAAACAAAATTAAACGCATGCTGCTTTTTACTTCTTACTCCTTTGGTCCTATTTAAACGGCCAAAAAAAAATAACTTTAATTTTTTTTATAAGATACTTTATTATTTTTATGTTGATCTTCATTTTTCTACCTTTATTAAATGATGAAAAAATTATTAAAAATAATTCTTTCCCCTCATTGGGAGTGTAAAGATAGAAACTTACTAAAATTTAAGATATGGTTAATAAAGTTTTATGTTTTTCTTGATTCTAATTAAATATGTTGAAAGTGATTTATAAATAAAATTAGAGGAAGTATATCATATAATGATCATGATGATGTTGCATTATCATTAACTTAGGACGACTCATGCTATGCATCTATTTTTAATAGTAAAGCAGCATAATTAAATGTGCTGACCGAAGTGTTTTCTCCGAATGGTGCAGTGAAGTATAGTATCTCCGTTTTTTCTTGTCCAGATTTCGGGGGGTAACGACAGTTCCACCTTTAGGCAAATTGAATGGAGATGATCGAAGGCCGATTGGTGACCGTTAAGAGCAGCCAAGAAGAGAGGTGTCTCTTCTTCATTGTTACGCTCACAAACCAATGACTCGTGGACACGTGTGATGCGACGACAAATGGTGTCAGAGCCACGTGAGGCTGCACAGTGCAAAGGGGTATCTCCTCGACTATTCTTAGCTTTCAGAGTCTCCAATGCCTTACCAGTCTTCTCTATTTCACTCACCAGTTTCTCAACTACTTCATCTTCTGGTGCCCCATTAGCGATAGCCCAGTGCAAAGCTGTGTCGGACCACGACTCATCATCATGGCGCGAACCACGTATCTCATTTGTTGCCTTCATCATATCACCCATCTTTCTATCCTGAATCTGTGGTTGGTTTTCAAAAATTTGCAAGACCGTCGTCCAATCTTCTCTCATAAGTGCAATGCACAGGCTTTCCCCATGATTCTCTTGTTGCTCTGAGCTCGAACTGCCGATCATTTTTCTTATTTCACTTTGGTCCGTGTGTCTGGGTAAATTAAAGGAAACCAAATTATATATATATATATATATATTTGCAAACTGACAAGTATAGAAGACAAACTTAGAAAATCAGCAATTAGTTAGACCGTATCATTATTGTTACCCATTTGGAAAGAAGAAACCTTCTCTAGGCTCGTTATTCTTGAGGTCAATGATGGTGTATAGAAATTCTGAAGATCCAACTAATTACATAGAGCGAGGGAACGCTGCACAGCCTTTTCTTCTTGTTTTTTCCTTGTCTTGTATACATACATACATACATACATACATATATATATATATATATATATTTGGCAAGAAAAGGCATTACAGAGTTGATGGGGTCCATTTTTGGCCGTTTGATATAAGTTAAATGGCGATTGGCGTAGAGTTAATCATTGAATATTAGCGTAGAGTGATGCTGAGTTTTTAGCTAGCTAGTGCCAATAGTCATGATAAACCATGAAGGATTAATATCAAAACATGGTAAAAGTATATAGGAATTTATAACAACAGTTGTATTTATCCTATTTATAATGTTGGGATGATTGGTTTGATTATTTATATTGGGAATTTGGGAAGTGGAAGATGTGCACTGAACAATGACAATAAGATGGACTTTGTTCCTCTTAGTTAGGTCTTCTTAAGAGAATTATCCAATTAAATAAACTAATATTCAAAGTTGGATGCTTCTCACTGGATTTTTATTTTTGGTTTGATTAATAGTTTTCTCGTTTTGTTTTAGTTATGAAAAACAAAAACAGATAGAGAAGCAGCCATCTATGACTGTAAGATTGAATGTTTCCCTTCAAATTAGAGAATCAAGTACATCCCTATTTAAATAGTCCAACTAACCATGCCAACACTCAAGTTGAAGCTCACTATCTCTCAAGTTGCTGGTGGAAAAGCCAGGACCACGGCCTTAATTTGGTTTTCTATAGCATTAACTTTGAATCTATCCCGACAAAAAGTTCTGTCCACCAAAGAGACATGAAATTTGACAAATTCAACGCTAAATTGTCCTGGAGATAAACGGAAAATTATAAATCATCGGAGTGTTCTTTTAGTTTGAAGTAATTGATTGATCTGATATTTTGGTGGAGTATGAAAAAATTCCAATGTCCACAAAAAAAAAAAAAGGAGAATGAAATCGCCATAATTCAATTGTAAAATTTCAATTAGACACTTATCATCAGGAATCCTTGAGGATCTAAAATTATCTTGCAGCTTAAAAATAACCATAATTCTAAGGGTTACAATGCAAATCCACCCCTGCAATTTTTCTTGAGGTGCAATTGGTATTCCTAAGAATTTTCAGGCGCAATGTCCCCCTTGATGTAATTAAAACGTATAAGCAATTCTAACCTAACCTAACGGATTGAAGACATTGACTGTGAAATCTCACAGAATTCGTTCATTAAAATTGGTAGAATGACACTTAAGTTTCAATGGGATCATTTTATTCAAGTAAAGTCCCAATAAATTTTAAAAGTACAGTAAGTCCCTTAAGTCCTTAATTGGCATTTTGATATAATGGGATTTGCTCCCAATTTTAAAATTGGGAAAACAAGTCACTAGCTCAACAATATAAAATTGCAAATTTGAGACACAAAGTTGCAAGTTATAATTAATAGGGAACACAAGTCTTAATGATTAAATTTGAAAAGAATCAAGTAATTATTATTTGAACATGTTGAAGAATTTGCAACTTCATCTCCTTAATTTGAAATTTTGTCATCTTGAATTTGCAACTCACTTTTCCTATTTTAATAGGGAATACAAATCTTAATGATTAAATTTAAAAAGTAATATGTCATCAATCGAACACTTTTAGAAATTTGCAGTTTTGTCTCCTAAATTTGAAATTTTGCTTGGTTAAATTTGTAACTCATTTTCCTTGTTTTAAAATTGGGATTGCTAAATGAAAAATACCAATTAATGGCCTAAGAAACTATCACGCCCTGAAAATAGAGGGTGATTGGCACGGGTACAAACTATATTGCGCATTCCCATAAGTCTTAATATGAAAATTCAATTCATTTTTCATTATTTTTTAAATAATTAGATTATATATAATTTATAACATTTTTAATGTTACTTATCACAAGAAAATTTCAAAGTTTTTGTAAAAATTTTGGCAAAACTTTCCCTATAATTAGGATCTCTCAAAAATTTTACAGCAAAAACTTTTTTTTTTACAAATAATAGTATAAATCAGGAGCATAGCTCCCTCCAACCAGCAACTAATACACAAATCAAAATAAAACCCTAATAACAATTTATGTGGAGCACTAATCTTTCTTTTAAATCAAAATACATACGACTTATATATTTATATCAAAAGCAATGGTACCAACCAAAATTTCCACCCAATGTAGCTATATGGCCCTTGAGAGGTCAATGGTGGGGTTAGCGTCAGCTAATAAATCTGAGGCCAAAATAAATTTTTCAGTGAATAGCTTTACCAAAGTAAAATTTTTAAAATTTAAATCAACAAACTCTAATAATGGTGTAAACTAATTAAAAGTAATTCTAGAAAACAAATTTATAAGCCTGTAAGTCATAACCATAATTGTAAAATGAGAGTAAATTGAAATCAATTTATGTTATCATGCTTAAAGAAAACAATTTACTCACATATAATTTAGTGGTATAATTGCTAGCCAAAATCATATAAATTTCAAAAATACATATTAGTCAACATTTAAAATTTTGAGAACTTAACAGAACAGGTTACAAACATGAACACATAGTTCACGAGGGTAAATAACCAAACGTGGCTTATATCATGAAAATAAATGTTAACCAAACGTGAGAACAAAAATCACAAACCAAACTAGCTAGTGTTTAATCACAGCACGCTACGGGCTAATGCAACTGCTGTTAGCAGCAGTGTTCTGTTTAGAGTCCTCTCAAAAATTATGTTTTAAACATGTGAAAAGAATAATTATTTCTAAAATACAATTTGCTTTTTCAATACCAAATTCACATGAATCATTTTAAATTTCAATTTAAGACTTGAAAAAATTATCTTTCATAAATAATATACAAGCTTGCGTTATCTAAATAATCACGGATTTCAAGAGTTTAATAAACCAAATAATTTCATAAATCTTTGAAATATATTCATTGAAGAAATAAATGCATATATCATCCTTTAACTATCCAGCACCGATATTTCAAAGTTTCAAAACTAATGTAATTCATAAGAGTGAAATATCTCAATGAAAGTCTCTTAAAAATAAAAATACAAATAAAAATAAATTAAAGGGGATGCTATTCACTTACTTGTCGAAGTTTTAAATTCTTAAAATATTCTTTCATCAATTTTTATCAGGATCCTCTTCTTCTGCACGTCTTCAACTCAGTCGGCCTGAACAGTGGTGAACTGAGAGAAAGAAGAAACAAACGTACTCTTGAATGCTAAATAGGGGAGATATAAGCTAAACGTTATCACTACACCCAACAATGGAAGAAGACTGATTCAGCCATACCAACATGAGCTCACAGTAACAGCCTTCCAGCACTCGATACTTCACGACTTCTTAGCCTAGAACAACATGGACAGATAGCACACAGAGAAAATGTAGAAATAAGGAGCACATAAAGGAAGGGATAATGAGGCTCACAGCTGAACTGGGGAAGGAAAAACTTATGAGAAGAACCTTATAGCTTCAACAAATTGGTCCTTTACTCCATCCACAACTCAAACGTGAATGACACAGGGAAAGCAACAGATCGAGAAAGAGAAAAAAATAGAGTTCACATGCATGAAGGAGCGTCTGAATGTCACTGAGCAGTGGTAAGCCTTCTTCATCGCTGGTGATAGCTAGGAGTAAAGAGGGGAGAGATGTTTGGTTATGGTAGAAGGTTGGAGAGAAATATTGAACACACACACACACACACTCTCTCTCTCTCTTTCTCTGTGCACCGACTAGATAAAGAAGAAGTAAAAGAGAATTTATCAAGTGAGGAAGAGGGCATGATGGTAATTTTATATAGGCTAAAACTAATAGAAATAAAATTCCTCCTTATACTCCAGAGATTTCAAACTTAGGACCTTTTACATAAGTGCTTATATAACAACCATTACACCAAGTCTTCTTCTTGCTACACATGTTCTCAAGAATTAATATAATTACTATTAAAACACCAACTTATATATCCTTATTATTATTAATTATATTTATTTATTTATTTATTTATCTATATATATTTTTTTTGGGCTATTACATTCTACCCCCTTTAGGAAATTTGGTCCTTCGAATTTAAATTTGTGCTTACTTTAATCCTCAAATAGGTGTGGATACTTACCACGCATATCAGTTTTGATTTTCCATGTAGTTTCTTCCTGAGAATGGTTACGCTATAGCACTTTCACTGAAGTAATTTCTTTAGACCACAACTTCTTAACTTGTCGGTCCAAAATAGCCACAGGAACTTCTTCATAAGATAAGTCTGGGGCTATTTGAATCCCCTGAGCTTCTATCACATGAGAAGGGTCATATAAGTATTTCCGTAACATTGATACATGAAACACTAGATGAATACTTGACAATTCAAGCAGTAACGCCAAACGATAAGCAACTGCACTAATTTTCTCTAAAATTTCAAATGGACCAATATACCTTAGACTTAGTTTTCCTTTCTTCCCAAACCTCATTACCCTTTTCATAGGAGATACCTTAAGAAATACTTTATCCCTGACCATGAATTCTAACTCCTGATGTTGATTATCAACATAAGACTTCTGTCGATTTTGAGTTGATATTATTCTTTCTCTAATTATTTTCACTTTTTCAATATCATCTTGTACTAAATCCAAACCCAAAAGCTTAGTATCCCCAACATCAAACAACCTAATAGGAGACCTGCATTGCCTGCCATAAAGTGCTTTATATGAGGCCATTTGTATGCTAGATTGATAACTGTTATTATAAGCAAACTCCATCAAAGCTAACTAACGATCCTAACAGCCACTAAAATCTAAAATGCAAGACTTTAGCATGTCTTCAAGTATCTGAATGGTTCTCTCTAATTGGCCATTGGTTTGCGGGTGAAAAGTAGTACTGAGATCCAATCAAGTGCCTAAAGCTTCTTGAAAAGATCTCTAAAATTGGGAAGTAAATTGAGGACCTCTATCAGAAATTATAGATACTGGAATCCTATACAGTCGCATAATCTCATCAACATATAATTGAGAATATTTATCAACATTATATGTTGTTTTCACTGGAATGAAATGAGCTAATTTCGTCAGTCTATCAATAATAACCCAGATAGAATCATACCCCTTAGCAGTGCAAGGCAACCTGGAAATGAAGTCCATTGTGATATTTTCTCATTTTCACTTTAGTATTTCTAACCCTTGATGTAGCCCAGCTGACTTTTGGTGTTTTGCCTTAACTTGCTAACATGTTAAATAGTATGAGACAAAGTCTGCTACATCCTTTTTCATGCCATCCCACCAATACAATTGTTTCAAATCTTGATACACCTTTATTACTCCTGGATGAATAGTATATGCAGAATGATGAGCTTTTTCCATAATAAGTCGCTTTAAGTTTTCCTCTTGTGGCACACAAATTCTACCATTGCACTTTAGTATCCCATCTTGGTCAATTTCAAACTCAGTGTTACTTCCTAAGATGACTGCTTCCTTTAACTTGCATAACTTTGGATTTGAAAATTGAACACTTTTAATCTAATCCATTAAAGAAGAATGAGCTTGTACGTGAGCCAGAAATGCTCATTTATCAACAATCTCAAACTTGACTCCACTCTGCTCAAGTTTATGAATTTCTTGCACCAAAGGCCTCCTTGTCAAAGTCATATGCACCAAAGGCCCATGTTGCATTAAGACATATCCTAGACCCACACTAGAAGCATCACAATAAACTGCATATCCTCCATTGTCTGATGGTAAACTCAAGACTGGTGTTGATGTTAAACACTCCTTTAACTTTTGAAATCTATCTTCACACTTGTCATCCCATTTAAATTTCACATTCTTTTAGGTTAATCTTGTTAGTGGAGTAGCTATTTTAGATAAATTCTTGATGAAATGATGATAATATCCCGTAAGACCCAAGAAACTATGAATTTTTGTAACAGTCATCGGTCTTGGCCAATTTTACACTGCTTCTACTTTGCATGGATCCACCTAAATACCATCTTTAGAAACAACATGTCCTAAGAAGGCAAATTTATCAAGCCAAAATTCACATTTAGAAAACTTGGCATATAGTTGTTGTTCCCTCAATGTTTGTAAAACAATTCACAAAATGATGTTCATGCTCCTCTGAGCTCTTTGAATGTAACATCCTAAAAATTTTAAGACTCGGATTTATTTTTTAAAAAATAAAATATCTATAATTAAATTAAAATAAATAATAATTTAATAGAGGTCCAGAGTTTGAATTTCACTCAGCAAAATTTTAGTTTTATTTTATTTTTAACTATGAAAAAATTACCAAAGTTGACCTGGGCTTTTATGTAATAATTAAAAAATATTAGGCCCTTACTTGTAATTTGCCCCAAACTGTTTAGTTGATTTTTTTTACAAGAGCACACAGAAAAGAAACAAATGAAACAAGAAAAAAAAAGGAAAAGAAACACACAAATGACAGAGTGAGAGGAAGAGAGGAGGAAGAGAGGGATTTGGGCTCAGATCTGGAAGGCTTTATGGCCGTTGTGAGCTCAGCTACGTGGTTGGTAAACTCTCTATTTCAATCTTCTTTATTCCCTCTTTATTTTCTTCAATTTTTGAAAGAGGTAAATTCTATATTTTGATCCTAAGGGCTTTATTCTTATAAGCTTCAGTTATTTTGTGTCCTTAGGGGGTTGTTTTGAGTTTTTATATGGTACTCTAATGTTTGAGTGGATAATTGGATGAAAAGAGGTGTTTTGGGCACAAATTAAACCCTGAGAGATTGGGTTTTTCTCTTTAATGGTTAAAGCCTATTGATTTAGTTATAATTGTGCTATTTAAATCTAATAATATTTAAATTAAGCTTTAGTTTTCTTTATAAGGGCTAATTATGAAAGTTGGTGGTGCTAAGTGAAGGTTTTTAATTGATTAAAAATTATATGGTTTGGAAATTGGCCTAGTGGTGGCTAATAAATAGTTTTTGTGGTTAAGTGATGCTATGTGACTAGTTAGTTTAATACATGAACCATTAGGAAAGATTATAGCTCATTGACCCAAGTTATACAGTATGAGTTATAGTCTTCTTATATGCTATTTATCATGAAAAGTGATGTGGATCACTTATATGTTGTAGGGATTATTGGTGAAACTTATTGAGGAGTTAAGGAACAAGCTAAGTCTTATTTTGTATAAGGGGAACCCTTTTAATACCAAAGGATTGAGGTAACAGGGGAATTTATATTTTTTATTGCTTTGTTTAGCTATTTTAGAATAGATAATATTATCTAGCATGCATTACATGTTTTTAATAATTGAATGCAAATAAAATGTGTTTTAGAAGGGTTTATGGGGTATTGCTTTAATAATAATGCATTTATATTTACTATCTATTTATGAATGATGTTACTTATGGAAATAAAATTATTAGCATGCATTGTGATAATAAAAAATGAGGAGTTGCACTTAGAGAAGTGTAACTAGGTGTAGTACCTTAGATAGGCTAAGGAACCGCTTAAGAGATGAATTATGAGTGTTACACTATCTTGAGTGTTGAAGTGGTCAATACTCGAGAAAGGTAGAAAAGGGTAGGAGGCATGATCTCAGTGGGAGTTCACCAACGGGGAGATGCGGTCTTGTGATATTCTATGGCTTACTGTCAATACTCAATGTTACCTTTCGTATTGTGGGCTCAGTATACTAAAGTGGTTAGTGAATTGAGTATTTGAAACCTCTTAGTAGGAGAGGAAATTTGGCACATAAAGTGAGAGGTTGAGTGCCTAGGCTAAGGTAACCCTCATATAGAGAGTAAGTCGGGCTGGCTCTAGGAGGGAGTTAGCTTTTAATACTTAGGATTCACATCAAAGGGGCACAAGTGGTTCGGTAGATCAGATCATGCCTTTGTTTATGTTTTATGCCTGTGGAGGTACAATGGGAATAAGATTTACCTATAAGCTAAAGAGTGCCAGGGGGCATTCTGTTGGTCAGGAATGGCCATATCAGCCTATCTCTTGCATTCAAGCATTTTAATTAATTAATTATATGTTATTTTGAATCTATTATTTGTTTACTTGACTATAGATTTCCTTGTAATAAGGAATATCAATTTTTTTATTACTATGACTGTGGTTGTCTCACCCCTTTCTTTGCAATATTTATAGGTCTAGGCAAAGGATCCAGTGGTGGATGGGGAAAGGAGTAAAGTTAGGAGTTTGCTTGTGATTTGCAAAGAATTGCAACCCCTTTCTTTTGAGCAAGTACAGTGTAATGTATTTAGAATTAGGGTGCTAATAGGATGTGACTATACATATATATATGAATATGTGTAGATTGTGTGCTTGTGTATGAATTTTTGCTGCTTATAGACTTATGTTTAGCAAACTTGGTTATAGTGTGTGGTTTTGATGGATTCATTTGATAGATCAAGTTTTCACTACAAGCAAATATTTATTTTAATGTATATATATGAGTATGTGTGATTCTACGAGAAAATGCACAGTGGTTGCATTGTAAATAGTGTGTTATAAGCAAACATACACCTTGGATAGAGAGAGTGGGTGCATGGGCCCCACGTGAAGCCTTGAGCCAAGTGAAAATATTTAGCATGTGTACTTTTGCATCCGAGTATCCATATTTCAATCTGACCATTGGATTTTCTTGAGATTTAGATCACAAATAAAACCTTTTATAATCTTTATGTGGGCTTTAGAATCACCTCGATCGGATATCATACAAAGAAATAGTACACTCTGAAAGTTGGTCCAGAGGTGCTGTCACGACAGCTATTTAATGCTGTCATGACAGCAAAGTTACTGAATTTGCAACATGCATGAATTTTGATCCAACCGTTGGATATTTTTGAAATTTGTTACACTTCTAGTACCCTTTAAATGTGATGTTTGGGCTCTAGAATTGCTCTGATCGGAGGTCAAATGATGAAATGGTGTACTCCGAAAGTTGGTCTAAATGTGCTGTCATAACAGCAAAAATGACAAACTTAAAACATGTCTAATTTTTAATCTGACCATTAGATATTTTTAAAATTTGGTTTAGTACTAGTAATCATTAAGAATGATGTGTGAGATTTAAAATTATTTTTATCGGAGACCGGACAACAGAATGGTGCCTCTTGAAAGTTGGCCCAGGAGGGCTGTCATGATAGCAATTTAATACTGTCATGGTAGCATCTTTTTGCCCCACTTTTGCTTAGCTTGCTTCCATGCGTTATAGGTGAAATCTATAAATTTTTCTAAAAGTTTTAAATGTTTATTTTGTGATGGTGTATATGTTTAGTGATTTAAATTATTTATTTCCTAAGTTAGTTTTATGATCAACTCCTTAACCACACTTAGTTTATTTAAATTGTGTAATTTTTGGATAATACTCGGGGCAAGTGTTGCATTGAATATATCAAAATATCATCAATGATCACAAATTTTTTAAGGAATGGCTTAAACACTCAGTTCATCACATCTATGAATGCTGCCGATGCATTCGTTAACCCAAATGACATTACAAGAAATTCATAATGACCATATCAGGTTCTAAATACAGTCTTAGGTATGTCCTCCTTCTTAATCTTTAATTGATGATAACCTGAATGCAAGTCTATTTTGGAAAAACATTGAGCTCCTTGTAATTGATTAAAAAGATCATCAGTTTGGGGCAATGGGTACTTCTTTTTTACCGTCACCTTATTAAGCTGCCGATAATCGATGCAAAGTCTTACTAACCCATCCTTTTGCTTCACAAAAAGTACTGGT